CGACAGAAACGTACTGTTCAATATAATACTGGCGTTCTTTAACGATACACAGGTATATATGATGTTTGGTTCGCTTTAAATAGTTTATTTTTCATACTAAAATCATAACATATTTATAATGTACTAGCTGTTCCCCGCGGTGTTACCCGCGGATTTCCGGGATGTAAAGTAGCCTATGTGTTATTCCTGGACGTCAGCTTCCTGTATACAAAATTTTATCAAAATCTGTTCAGCAGTTTGAGCGTGAAGAAATAACAAACATATACACACACTCACAAACTTTGGCAATTATAATATTAGTAGGATTATATAACCTGTGGCACCGCAGTTAAATTAAATGTATTTGTCAACGTAGATTTTATTTGTATTGCAAGTTGTATTCCTGTAATATTTTTTGGGAAGTAACAAATTAGGACTATGACAAAAAGAACTGATATCAAACCGTATTATTTAAGTATATTAAACGAATAAAATATATTTCCAGCCGGTACATTTCGAGCTAGCAGCTCAACTGAGCATACGCTTCGTTAACGTGGAACGTGAGAAATTCGAAAACCGCCTCGCCATATTGTCCTTATTGAGCGGCAAAATATTATTACTGAGCAACGATATAACTGAAGGTCGCTTTGTGACTATCAAGTTGAACTACGGAGATAACAAGAGCGAGGAAGAAAAACAAAAGGAAAAAGATCACAGTCTCATACAAATACTAAACTTGATCGACAAAATAACAATACATTGCCCGTCAAGTTTGACAAATAACAAATACACGGACGACTACAGCGAAATAGCACAGCATTGTAAAGCGTTATTAGCATACCCACATGTGTGGGTGAGATTGAAATCTGCTAAAATATTAGGGACTTATCTATCTGTTGTGAAACCCGAGGATCTGAATGAACCGAATCCTGATAGAGGTTTCTTATATGATGATACGGAAAATGATTTTAGAAGTCTCATACTCGATCTTTGTGCTCAATACATACCTAATATGAGTAACGAAATGGCGGAACAGGTGAACATAACTTATATGTATTAACAGTAAAGAGTATTTATATTTTAAAACACCTAACATAATAACTAACATAATTTAAATATATATTTTTTGTAATTTCAGATCACAGCAGTTTTATTCCAAATAATTAAAATAGTTCATAATATACCGAGGTTTAAAATTTCTAAATCACATTCGGATGACGAAGAGACTGAAGTTAGCGCTAAATTGAATGTAAGATGGATTCTGTTTAAATTAAGAAAAGCGATAAACACTGAAGTTGCCAGGTCACCAAATTGCTTGAACATTGTAAGTACAATTATATATATAAGATATAATATTCTGATTTGGATGACACAATCGATAAAAAGTTTAACGTTATCTCTGTAAGAAAAGATTTTATCAACTTCTAAAAAAGGCTTCTCTTTTTTCGTTCTTATCTTGCTTTAAAAAAAATTAAACTCAATATATCGTGACGAAATGAAATTAAAGCATATTATAACTTTGTTTAATACTTTTAATTCACTTATGTAACATCCAATTTATATATTTTTTAATCAATAAAATAAAATGAAATCTGCACTATAAGGAATAAGACATTAATAATAATTATATTTTATTCAGAGAACATCAATCTTCACGATGTGGTTGCATATAATAAGTTCATTGGAAACTGAAGACTTATTAAAACTTGTTGACGTCATTTTACCGCCGATAGTAAGAGAACTGTCATTAGAACAAACGTCAGCTGTTAAACAGTTGGCGGGAAGACTTGGCAAGAAATTGAGACGAAAAATAGGTGATATAGAATATAGCAAAATGGCTGCCAATGTACAGACGAAATTAAATATGAGGAGAGCTGAAAGGAAAAAGGTACACATAATTATATAATTATCTGATAATTTTACATATTTTGTCAACTTCGAACTCAACAAAATTTTGTTTTAATCAATGCAGGTCCTCCTTCAAGAAAAGGTTAAGGACCCGGAAAAGGCTGCGAAACGAAAATTACAATTGCGAGAAAAGAAAAAACAAGCAAAGAAAATTAAATTAGAAATGCTACATGGAAAGAGACCGAGGGCCAAAAAACGAAAAGCAGTAGATTTTGATATAGAAGATGAATTATTAAAAGACACTGAGGAATAAATTAAGTCTAAATAAGAAAAACTTATGGATTAATTCTAAATATTCTGAATATTTAGGTCCTATTTAATACTTACCACAATATTTTCCATCTTGTATAATTAAATAGGTCGCTTTGAAATTTTCTTAAGATTTTTATGTACATAATATGTGTAAATAAACTTTATAATGAAATGGATTTTTTCACTATCAATTATAGTTGTCTATTCAATGTTAATGATCACGCCTTCATGCATGTGAACTTATTAATTAGGTTTACATGTAAATATATAACGTATGCTTCAGAAAAAGACTGACAGCGCCATCTACAATCGCAGACTGGTAACACACCCAAAACATACATAATTATCATTTTTATTATTGCCTTAACATTTTTCTGATGACTAAGCTACTTAATAGGAATATTTAATTAAAATTTACTAAGTTGTTATTGCCTTGAAGACAGACATCCATATATCCTCATTCCTCACGATGTTTCGCATTTATATTGGTAGGATGATAAAAAAAAAATATTTGTTGGGAATTTTAGGAATTTTTATTTAACATCTTTTAAAACAGCAATATCTGCAGTAACTTTTTAATATTGCTCTTATATAGTGAATAGATATACTTATTTTAATTTACTTTTTAAATCTGACTAAAGTAATAGATCTCTACGAGATTTGTAAAACGTTCTAGTATTTATAATTAATGTGTATAAGTTATTTCTTTTCTGATATCCGTCTTGTTGATACATATGAATTTTCTTTACAATTATTTTTTTAATAATAGATGACTTGTTATAAATAAAACACAAATATAACAAAATTATATTGCTTTATGTATAACACAATATAAACATACGATAAACAAAATAACCATCACAACAATAAGTAAAAGCTATGCTTTATAATTTTAAATGTGGAATATAAAATGGCGGCTCTGAAAGGAAAAATATTTATATTTTGTAATGCATATAAAAATATACAGTATTATATATATAGTTTCATAAACAATCATATTAAAAATTAATTATCTAGCAATTCAACAGTAAATATTTCTTAATATTACTTATCATTAAAAGAAATTGTACATTTAATGGCCAGAATGACGTCACTTAAAATTTTCTATGATATCAACAGATATTCGATGTATAATGTGTTAAGAAAAGTTATAATCATAAAAGATAGAATGGCATATAATAAGAGTAAAATGACTTTTTGAGCTTCCGTATTTTTATGACAGTTACCAATTCGATTTCTTTCATGATTAACGCGCCTAGAATTTGTAACCACAGACAATGTAATGTTTTAGTTTGTGGCTAACTTTACAATTCTAATATGAAAATTTTACAACGCAATAAAGAAACCTGTTAATTTTAATCACAAAATTCACAACTACGGTCGATTTTATATATTTTTTTAATAGATTTTTTTAATAACTAATAATCTAATGCGTGTAACGACTATATTAAATTATTATATTGCTATTATATGCTACTCGTAACAGACTATTATAATAACGAATTAAATCTAAAATATAAACTGACAGCACCAACTTTCCAAACTTTTTACAACATACTTTTTTTACCTTTAAGGTACAACACATTGCACAAGTCGACCATTAAAGAAATTGGCGACAGACAAGTTGTATATGTGGAAGTTAAAGTAGGCCTCGCGATCTTAAATATAAAATCCCAAATAATTATTTAACATTTAGTGTAATTGCAAAATATATATAAAATAGAGTTGCATATTTTTTTCAATAAAATCATAATAGAAAAATTTTTGTAAGCTCACAATTAATGCAAAAGTGCATAAGAATATAAACGGTATACAATTTAAAAGGCATTAGTTGGAAAGATTATTGCAGAAGCAACAAATGCAAGCGGGGAAAGTTTATCAAAGTTGAAAAAGTGGGGAATCTTTAGATATATAAAATATAAAAGAGTTTTCTGCCGTAGATTGAATTCAAACATTTTTAGCCGAATCAAAATATTTTTTCTTTTTTTTTTTAATTTATTATTGCTTTGGACGGCACAAGCCCGGCATCGCCTTAGCTTTTTGTCATGAATTACAGAAAGCCTTAGTACTATAGCATGAAATATATACTTATTAATTCCTTTAACATTTTATTTGCAAGGACAAAGAAGCTTTTAAACAAGCCATTTTTATAATTATATAAATTAAGTTACATATTCTACTGGGATAAAAGTAATTGACTCTCATTCACATGGGTTTGGATAGAACATTATTCTTAAGTGATGTGATTATTCCTTCTGGTATAGTATATATTTTATTTTGTTGGCAGAGCCGAAATAATATACAAGTTTATTTTTTATGTGGAGATGTATAATAGAATTTATGACAGAATTATAATTGTATCTAATCTTTATAGTTCTGATATCACATTAACGAAATTAAAGAACTAAGATAATTATATGAAGGATAGTGTTGATTTTACTTTATTACTCATAATTATAATATGGTGATTAATTTAATAAGATTTATAGATTATAGATTTCGCCAATGTCGTGTGTAATAAAATTTATATTTAACATATTTTATGTAATTAGCTAAGTACCGATCGCTGATTTTGACATTTCAAGTTGGACGAACATTTGACAATTTAATCTGTCAGATTGACGTAGCTAATATATTTGACTTTTGTTCAAAATAACTGTTCATCAAATTTAATTAATTCTGTTTCCTTTTTTTGTTAATAACTATAAGTACAGCAACTTTTTTTCGGACTCAATTAAGTTAATTTCGATTTCTATCAACAAAAGACATGTTATGTTTAAGTTTTTGAAATCAATTCTAATATCCAAATAAACGTATATTATCCACGGCTCTGTCAAATATATTACGAATCCAACACCCGTTTATATCATTCCCAATATAGGGTTATATCTCATGATCTTGGACAGCAGAATCCATAGTAACGAAGCGGTTGTCGCTAGTACTACGCCGCCCCAACCAAGTTCTAGTGACCAAGAAGTGTTAAACTCCCTCGCAGTCAGTAATGGAAGGGCTGGGTGTCGTGGACCGATGACTCCATCGCCGTCCAACGGTCTTAGAGACACACGAGCTCGCTTCAAGTGGATTATCATCAGCGTGAACATCGCGAACAGACCTTGTGATTAATAATTACGAAATGTATAAAGAAATTGTACGTAATGTGATAACTAATAGAAATATTCATCTAGGTGTATATTTGTGCCAGTAATATAAAATAGAGAATGTCAATGTCTAAAAAGCTTTTGTGGGTTGTTTTTTTATTGTTTCATTTCAATGCAAGAATTTTGAGTTTACAAAGACAGTTTTTTTTTTGTAATTGTCTGTATTGAGAGTGTGGTGTGTAAAAAAGTATTAAATAAATAATAAATAATATTATTCATAATTTTTGAATTTCGAACCTTTTTCAGAGTCCGATATTAAAATATTTTTATTGCCAATAATCAATTACTCTTAATAAAACTACTATCGTAATTACAATGGTTTAAATTAAGTGAGGCAATAAAGTGTATGTGAATAATATTTTTACCAGCTAATAGATACATCACTCCTGTGACAAGTACGGCGCTAATCTGATGTTTACACACACCGAAGGCGCCGACAAGGGCCGCGCTCACCAACACTATGAGACACACCAGGGCGCACGATATTGACAGATTTTGCATACCTTGGAATAAAAAACCTAATTTATACACGTATTTATTATAAAACTATTACGATTTTAACAATATTATGACAAAAAAGTTTAGTAAATTAAAACATTTTTATTTTTTATTTATGGCCTTCATCCATATATGTAAAGGTTTTACAGTATTCTGCCAATGTAATGAATGGAAAACAAATGCAACAGATAATATAAAAGACATATATTTATTATTTTATATTTAATACTCACGATGTTGCCAATCACCTCTCTGTTCCTCGTCATCACCATCCGCCAAGTAATTTGTGCATAGCGGCTGTTTAGGGAAACCCGCTCGGGATAATATTGATACTTCCTCCTCTAAAAAATGTGTAATATTCGTTTACAATATATTTTTAATGCTTGATATTCTTCGAAAATAGCACCATTAATAAGTTTTACGTGTAATAAACTATATTAGAATTGATATTTGATAGTTCTAGTACCTTCTAAAGACACGCACATAGTCCAAATGCCGCCGTTCATTGGAACTAAGAACGTTCCGCCTCCTTTACGCTGATTTGAGTCTTCAATCTGTAAAGTTATATAGTTTATAGTCTTGTTCAGTTGAAACAAATCTGTAAAGGGAGGCCAAAAAAAGGAGGTTGTCATGCAAAATTTTCTTATAATACTGCATATGCGCTCATCAGTATATAACTATTTTAATATTGAATATTCTTTTTTTTTGTATACCTACTCGTTGTTGACTCCTTTTTTCACATTGGTGAGTTTAAATTCATTAAACTATTGGAAACGGGAAAATATCAAACTTTTTAGCTTATCACGTAATAATAATTTTAATATTTAGTATTGAATGATCCAAATTAAAAATCATAGTTAAGACCTTATGTGCCAATATGACGATTTTAAAGATAATACTTTTTTTATAATTGTGATGGAAACGTTTTTTTAAACATATATTTTTATATTCTTCAGCCATATGTCTAGCTCTGCTTTCTTTGAAATGAATGTCCAATATCTTTTCTCTTGATATTTTTGTGACAAATTAAATTACTTAAACCTAAACTCTTGAAATTTTTGTGAGTTTGCGACACTTAAAATTCCTCGTATAATGTTGATTTTCTGCATACTTATTGCTACATTCAAATCAGCTTGCAGCTTTTTTTGGCAATTTTTTCTCAACTATGTATATCCAATTACTTAAAACGAATTACAAATAAAAGAATCCATTACGCATTAAAAATAATGGAATAGGAATTGTTTTTAACAATTATATCTAAGGTAACAGCCATCATAAAAAATATTTTAACGCAGAAATTACATTTAATGCACCGCATATAAAACCATGAGATATAAAAGCATTGAAGAGAACAGATTGTAAACATGTAAATACATTCAACCAGTCGATTGTGTAATACCAAAAGGCGACATTTATTTTCTTACGTTACAAGTATTAAGTGTCAGGTTTCGGTGTAATCCTAACTTGAAGGGATTCTTCACACAAATACAAGATTTACTGTTTTGTTTGTCACTTTTCTTACGAAGTGAGCATTGAAAGAACGATTATTTAAGAATGAGTGAATGAATTAATTTATGTCAAAATAAAATTAAAATTAAAAGATTGGGAATGAGTTGAGAATGTTTAGTTTTTATTGTTTGAAATGTTCGAATGGTTTTTATCCAGATTAATGAATAATGATAATTGTAATAAAGATATTTTTTTATATTATTGTAAGACGTATTTTATCATTACATCAGAATTTGAGAGAAATACGTCATTCTCAGATCTTTGGTTTCATTCTGCAAAATTCTTTCCTAAATTTCTTTAAATTTTTACTTTTATAGTACAAAGTGAAAAATTTAATAATAAGCGCATCAATACTTACATTAAAAAAGTTACGTAAAATTATTTTTGAATCGGATGATAAGTACAAACCAAAAATGTTCAATTCTCTGATTTCAGTCTAAGTGCATATTGCCGATTTTGATTCTATACGACTCATTTGTTAAGGTAGAACGATACTTAAAACAAACAGTTATTCTCGTACTGGTTTTTCGATAGGCTTTTCACTTTTAAATTATTCCAAAAAGTTTAACATAACACATAGCAAAACAACAAATGTTAAATAATTATATTCTTCAGTAATATGTAGTCGTATGTATAGTCTGCTATAATACTATATAATATTTTGCTATGATACAATAAACTGAGTCTGATATAAGTTATTATAAAAAAATACCGTATTCTTGAAAATAATTAATGTTTTTAATATCAACTTTATTAAGGATGACTAACAAAGGCTCTATTAAAACGGTGATTTACTTTCCTTTATGAAAGTCTTTTGATATTAAATCGCAAGGAGTAAAACCGTTCTTATTAATCTTGGAACATTTATAATAGAAGTGACTGATTACTACGAGGTAAGATATCTCAGCTTTATAACATAATATAAAGTACATATTTAGGTTAATATTCATTTTTAAAACTAAATGATTATCTTGGTGAAGTATCAATTAAATGTATAGAAAGTTTTAAAAAGGAAGGAAAAAATATAGAACAAAAAAAGTACAGATTATAAATAAATGATTAATAAAAAAAACAAAACGTTTATTCAGGACAAGGACTCAAACTGACGAACTATCATTGTCGCATTGCAGATCTCATAACATTCATACAGTGGTCGACACGGTGATAATATTCTAAAATATATAATATAATTACATTGTATACGCGCTCTGTGCTCGCTTGTGTACACGTGATGCTAAATTCTAGAAGCATTATAACGTAGTTCATTTGGTATAATAGCAGCAATTAAACACATTAAATAGAGAAAAAATTATTTAAAAACTCTAAAGAAATAACTGAAAACTAGAAATGATTTAATTGAAAGCTAAAATAGAAATAGGTGACCTAATAAAAAGATTGTTTAAAAGTAATAATTGGGAACTAGTATAACTGACATTAGAAAGGTATGTGTTGCCATGTTCTATTTCCCTGCTAATTATTTGAAAATTAAATTAATATTTCTGATTGATAATTAAATTAATTTATTGAATATTATGTTTCGAGATTTAATTATCAATTTCCTCAATAAAGACGACCTCATTTACGGAGTAGTTCAGATTTATAAATAGAAATATAAATTTGTTTAAAACAAACTAGGAGTTATTTTATTAATAATTCTCCAAGTAACGAATGTCTTTGAAAGTTTTTAATGTTTATGTGGGTTGTTGAAGTAAATTAAATGTAATGTAATGATTATACAAGGTTGGTTAATGATAAGGAATTTAATAAAAATACAAATAAACTTCTAAAGAACATTCTTTTATATGTTTAATTGATTGAATGCTCTAAAGAGAAAGGGGACTGTAAAATTTACGGACAGCTTAAATAAAATGCGGTTAAAATAAAACTATTATTTCAAGTCACACAGACAGCAAATTAAAAGAAGTAGGCCTTCATTAAAACGACTGCAATATTTTATAGCAACTGAGCACAGCGACCATAATATTAAGTACCGCAAAGCGTTTGGGTAAATTGTACACTTTTTGCTACAGGTCAAGGTAAAAATATCACTATTAAAATTACTTTGACTTTCAAATATAAATTACTTCATTCGACAAGTTTGACATTCATTAGTTTTATTCTAGTTTTATTCTTAGGAACATTAAATATTGTTACTACAAATTGTTGATTAAAATAAAACGAGTATTATGAAAGCAAACTTTGAAAGAATCACAACTGGACCTTAAGTAATCATAAACTAAAGAATGGTGATTGTTTCAGCGTGACAATTTTCTCTAAGGAGATTTACTTAAATATTTAAATATCAAAGCATTTTTTTGTTTATATATTGTGCTTAAGACAGAGAGAATAGTTATAACAATATTCAGCACAAGTTTTGTTTTTGACGCTTCATACTTGAGGTAAGAATAACTTTGATAAAATATTTTGATATTTCTGTGTAAAATTATACAGCAACATTGGTTTTCTTTTATTATTAACTAGTTTTTGCCCGCGACTTCGTCCGCGTTAATTTCATCATTAGTAATATATGTATACAGTATAGCTGACCGGGCGAACTCTATTCCGTCCTAGAGGCCATAAATAATCAGGTTTTTCCTGTTTCAATCGAACAGAATGATTGACATATTATTAGTTAGTTGTCAAATCTAATGTCAAAGAAAACATTTGTATGGGAAATAGAAAAGGGCTGTTTTTAGGGTTTTCCCGGAAATGAATCAATTTTTCTCACCTTTTAAACCTTCCCTGAACCTCCACGAACATTTCAAGACTAAGATAAGATAAATCCGTTCAGCTGTTCTCGAGTTTTAGCGAGACTAAGGAACAGCAATCCATTTTTATATATATAGAAGATTACACAAAGACATTACGTGCGACGTTCCTTCAAGGTCATATGGAACTTATAATGACAGGTTTATGCGAAAACTTTATTAAGGGGAAGTCTATTTCGACTGTTACACATATTACATGCCACAATCAGTACTTCGCCTTATTTAATTGGTCTAAATACCAAATAACGTGTGCTTCAATCAATCGTATTCCTAACTTAGCTTTGCTGATTGCGTGATAAATCATTCAATTGTATTAGCCTTTAACAAGTTGATGGATACTGAATTACAAAGCGATCGTAAACACATTCCATTCCAATATGGCTGATAATGATTTCTAAAAAAGAAACAAAAATATATTTAAGGCAAAATAAATATTGATGCAATAATAGGTATTTGTTTCAAGTTAATATCTATTATATAAATGTATAAACGATTTCTTGATATAATATTTGCCTATAAGTTACACTCTATTTTATTTCATAAATTCTTTTGTATTTTTATGCTATTTTAATCTGTTGAATACCGAATCATTAAGAATTATATCTAAGTATATAATTTATTATTGAAAGAGTTTTTATGTGATTTGTTTTTCTTCTGATTTAACTAAGTTCTTAGTAGGATAACTCATTCATCTAACGAAATATCGACTTCTTTATATTATAATCCGTAAGTTTTAAAACAATAAATAAATGAAAAGAGATGAGAATAATCCGAGATTGGAGAAATATTTTATTAGAACTGATTTATAACTAAGTTAAAAACTTCCTTAGAAACTATATATGTCACAATTGTAAAAAGGTATATGTATCTAATGGTTTTTTTTAATTTCATATTTCAATGGATAAGTCAAGTTAAAATCTCTTACTATCCAAATAGTCATATATATACATACACATGTGTTTAAGTATACAGGGTTTAAATACTCCAATATGTTACTATTACTTAGTAACATTAAGACGTTACTTAACCCCTTTTTTTAGGGGGGAAAATCATCAAATGACCCCTCTTGCTCCATCCAGGGCAGACTCTTACTGACTAAAAACCCCCCGTACCTACTCCTGCTCCGAGCCTGGCCGCGGTACTTTATTGCGCTTACACCCGCGGGCCGCGACCACGTTACTTAACCCCTAAGTCCTATTTTCAGTTCTAAACTTTGAACTGCAAAAAACGTATTAAAAAAGTACGTAGCAAAATATAAGTAAGTATTTATTATTTATATTCATAAAATATAAATCAGTTATAAGATCTTGTATAATTGATAATTCAAAGCAAGAGTATAATTGAATTTTATACACGATTTTAAACATTGGATTGGTTTTTTTCACAATATATTTAAAATCCTCAATGCACGACACGTTCTAGTTAGAGTGATTTTTTATTGAAGACCACTCTCCAATTCTAATTTGATGTACGTCGCTACTCAATGCTCATACATTTACAGGCTTGGATTTCTTATGAAGTAGCAGTAAAAAGGTTCTTATTCTAGTATTGAATGTGAGAAATCATTTAAATGAAATAATTATATAAGGATTACTACGAGTTATTTTATTCTTTTTAAAATTACTTATTCTTTTTTCGGTTGCTAGAAATTTGGTAGATGTCATTATGTTAAAAATCATTTTTTTTAGTCGGTACACTAAGTTTTAGTGCATACTTTTTTAAGGGGGGAAAATCATCAAATGAGTGAGTATCAGACTGCTACTGACTAAAAATCCCTCCTACCTTTTTCTACTTCGAGCCAGGCCGCGGTACATCATTACGCTTGCACTGGCAACCCTATTTTAGTATTGCTACACTCAATTTTTTTATCTAATCGTAATGCTATATTTACTATATACATATTATTTTTCATAAATCTTTATATTTTAAGAATCCTTCTAATCATTAAGTTCTTAATGAACATATGTAAAATTTGTATTTCTTCTTATTTTTAATTTTTTACAAACTGCCAGGTGTAACTACTTGAAAAAATATGTATTGCTTCACAACAAAATTTATTATTATGTTAAATATTTGACAAACAATATACTACTTCTCTTCTGAAAGGGATTTTAAAACTTAATGAGGTCTAAGACTTTCGTGAATATTTATTGAAATAAAACTTATATTTTTGGATTACTACGCGTGAAAAATAGATAGGAAATAATGAGAATAAACATTCTCATTTCTTCCGTGATTACGGTTGTTGCAAAATAACAAAAACTTTGGGAGTTTGTAATTCAAAATAATAATAAAATGATCCGAAAATATTTGTTTTATTATAAAACCTTGTTATTATGAGGGATAAATTTTATGACTGTAATGCGAAGGTTAAAGGTAAATATTAGCGTGTAAAAATAAATTTTAATTCCCCAAGCAATACCTCAAACCAATTTCGGTAAAACATTATAAAAAGGTTCTCTATGTATAAGTTCAAAACTTTTAAGTTAAATTTCCCTGGAGATGTAAAATAATATTATAATTTACGTAATTAGATAAAAAAAAATAATTCATGAGTAATTTCTCCAAGACAACATAAATGTACAAATTATATGTATTTATGTATAATATATTTATCTAAAAAAAATTAAAGCCATAGACCGTATGTAAAAGAAAAATAAAAGATAGCCCGTTTAGATGTCAATGTTGTTTTTTCTATTTTGTATATTTGAAAAGTCATAAATCTTATACTTTCCTATAGATATTAGATACAATAGCCAATTTTATTCATTTGTGAAGCAAGGAGTTTAAATTCCCGATAGAAACTTCATGGTGCCTTTTTTATATCTTGGAGATTTATATATAAAGTTATTGCAGCTTTTTCTTTATAAAATATCTTGGTCATGAAATACCTGCATTAAAATGTCTAAGTATCGGAGAATATTATTCCAAATGGAAAATAAATATAAATCCAAAAGAAATAGTTAAGATAAAAAAGATAAAACAGAAATAGATTCAAATAAAGTTACAAGCCTTACAAGTTAAAAATAACGAATCGCATTCAACGCTTGATAACTTTGATTAACACTTATTAATAAAAACAAACAACAGTTATTATTTGTATACATATTCTAAGTATTTTATGTACATTAAAATCACATTTTGTAATATAGTTTTGTATTTATACGACAAATATATTACAGTATTTAAGATTAAGCATGGAAGTATTCTGTCTTTTACGTCAAATAAAAAAATATAAGAGATTTTTTCTCTTCCCTTATATATGAGAAAACGTCTTGTGTATAAAATATTAGGGCGTCGTAAAAAGATCGTGACTTTTTTATTTATGAAACATAAAAAATGCTATTGTTTTAAGGATGCTAAGATATGAGATGAAAGATTTCAAAAAAGGTTTATTTCAAACTAGCTTTTGCCGCGACTACGTCCGCGTGGAATAGTGACTTCCGGCAGATTTTTGGTTCTTCCCACATAGTTCCCGTTCTTGCGGGGTTTTCGGAATGGTCGAGTTCCCGTAGAATTTCAGGATAAAATCTATGTTTTTTTTATTCACAATGAAGTACTCTTAACCAACAACATATTAATTTGATTATTTGAATAAAGATTAATATTATTATGTTGATACAACTTAAACAAATTATTTCGACCAAATTAGGTACCATAAAAACGGTTTTTGTGAGTTAATCTTAAAAGATAGACATATACTGTCGCGGACTGTTTTTTAGATCATTAAAAGAGCTATTATTCTTTGATACATATTTTTTGTGTATCTTGAACCATTTACACGGCGCACGCAACGGAAGACTTCAAAGATGAAATAATTTCTCCCGTTTTTTACACATTTACCACTATATCTTTGCTCCTATGGGTCGTAGCGTGATGTTATATAGTCCACAGCCTTCCTCGATAACTGGACTATCCAACACAAAAAGAATTATTCAATTCGAACCAGTAGTTTCGGAGATTAGCGCTTTCAAACAAACAAACAAACAAACTCTTCAGCTTTATAATATTAGTATAGATATAATTTTATTTAAACATAATTATAGAATAAATATAATCTTGAAACGGCCGTGAGACGTTTAACATAAAATAATTTTTATTACAAAATAAGTTTAAGAAAGAGGGATCAGTTATTTGAGTTAAAATTTTCATTCCCGATAAAAAAAAACTGCCAACAACAATCACAGAAGTTCGAAGTTAGTACAGACGTTTTAAGTTTGAATGAAATTTAATTAAGATCGTCTTTTAAAAATGTAAAGAAATTTCAATACGAATCAAATCAGATTAGAGAGAAATTGGACCACTTTCAATATCGACAGATGTCAAAGTTTATTATAAGTCAGTCACATGACAACTGAAAAAAAAGGATAAGAATAGTGGTGATATTAAAATGAAATATGAACTCAGATTACACTATTATTTTTATTTAATAACTAGTTTTTGCCCGCGACTTCGTCCGCGTTAGTTTGATCAACAGTAATATATGTAGGTATAGCTGACCAGGCGATCTCTATTCCGTCTTAGAGGCCATAAATAATCAGGTTTTTCCTGTTTCAATCAAACAGAATGATTGACATATTAGTTAGTTGTCAAATCAAATGTCAAAAAAAACGTTTGTATGGGAAATAGAAAAGGGCCGTTTTTAGGGTTTTCCCGGCAATTATTCCAATTCTTCTCACCTTTTAAACCTTCCCTGGACTTCCAGGAGTATTTCAAGACTAAAATTAGCCAAATCGGTTCAGCCGTTCTCAAGTTTTAGCGAGACTAAGGAACAGCAATCCATTTTTATATATATAGAAGAAGAAGACAACAGCTGTAGACTTTCTTGACAGCTTTCTTTACGGATAATTAAGACTACGTATTTTATTTTATTGTAAATACTCGACGTTTCAATTATGTTACAGTAATCGTGATCACGTGCAGACGAGGTGATACTTACATTGTTTAATAACAATTTATTTGTTCTATGCACATGCAGAAAGATAATATATTTTAATAGACACATACAACCTAAAATACGTAACTTTAACAACGCAAATTAAAGTTTAATTTTATTGTTATTTATTACTTACTAGTAAACCCGGCGAACTCCGTTTCGCCACCAGAAGGCTTTTATATAACATTTCGTTTGGTGATTAAAAGATGAAGATTTTTTTGTTTTATATTTGAAAAGGAAAATTTTTATTTCATTTCACAACAGTAATGAATGAATTCATTCAATACCGGTTTGTCAAACAATGTTTTATGCGACGGCACCATCTACTTAAAAATACTTAATATTGATTTGTAGTACATGTTATGTATGATGGCGCTGTATGTGACAAAAGATTTCCCCCCTTTCCTGTTGAATTTTTTTGTTGTCACGGAGCCCGAGACCTTTCTAACGAATGCAAAACCGTGGAAATTGGTTCTGTCCTTCTGAAGTTATAGCGTCAGGATGGAAAACCGGACTTATTTTTAAATAGTAGATTTCTTACAAATATCAAATTGTCATCCTTACGTTATTACATATCTGTCATTATACGTTAATTGCATAGCTGTCAATTGTGTTTCGTTATTCCACGTTTTATAGTGACTGACGTTTCATGTCAAGTCCCACGGGAATGCTGTCGAACGGGATAAAAAGTATCCTATTGCAATTTCTTGGCTCTAAACTACCTCCCTGCCAATTTTCAGCTAAATCGGTTCAGCCATTCTTGAGTTATAAGCGGAGTCACTAACACGACTTTCTTTTATATATATAGATATCTAATTGTATCGTTCGATTAACAAAAATGTTACTGTAAACACTAACTTTCAAAGTACTATTTAGTCGTAATAACTCTATGAGAGTGTAGTACATAAGTATTAAGCATCTATAATAGCTAGTTAGTCTTACCTTAACAACTTTCTCGTCTAGCAGCCATTGTATAGCGGTGTTTGAGGCGTTGGCCAATGCTGCCAGGGCGGCGCGTTCCCACGACACGTGCTCCCAATGCTGCGTCATGATGGCCGCGCACAGCATGGCCGTGGAACAGCTGCATGGGTAATAGAAGCATATAGTAACGTAGCATGGCCGTGGAACAGGTGGATTGGTAATAGTTGCATATATGTAGTAGCATAGCATGGCCGTGGAACATATAAAAGGCTAATAGTTGCATATATGTATAATGACATAGCAGGGGAGCGTTCAAGTATCACGTAACGTAATCTGGGGGGATGTCCAAACGTTACGATGCGTTACAGGGGCGGGAGGGGGTGTTTCTTACAAAACATTACATAGCATTGTTTCTAAAAAAAAAAATGAATTAACCCCCCAACCTAGCAACCCTTTTCATATACGTTACATTATGTCGACCAGATTAATACAACCCCTCGATTGGTCTGATCAACATTTTTAATTTGTTTTCTCAAGTTTGCAAAACCTCTTAATTAATATTTTATGGGATATAGGTATATTGCATTGTACGTCATTTAATTTTGGTTCCGTGTTCAGTATCAGTGTTCATACTGTAATTTCTTTAAAAGAAGGAGAATTGTATCAGTGATCTTGTTTAATTTAGTAGATTAAAACTATACCAAACTATTAGGTACATAACTTTTTACGACATTAGAATGAAAAAAAAACTAATGTAGGAACCTACAATTTATACATATGTTAGAAAGAAGATAAAACTTACAGCTTAAAATATATTCTTTATACGTGTATAGAAAATAGATCCATCAAGATATATTCAAAATATTCCCTCTATATACAAAATTATTTAAATAATTCATTAAAGTCATACAATCTGTCTATTAAGCACTTAAGTCAGCGGTGAACATGGAGGGAGATTAAAATTAAACGATTAAATTACTGTTAGTAAGCGGTTTTAACATCGGATTTATACAAATAAACATTATAAATAAGTTATACACTCTTTGTGTTTATTTCAGTTAAATCTATTGTCTAACTTATTTTAATTATAAATGTAATATTTGTTAAATAGATATTATCCATTTTTTATTAAATTATTAATAGATATAAATCTTCTTCATATATTTACAGAATGGAAATGAGCATATTACTTAGTTTAATTTAGAGCCAAGATGCTGCGAGTGTTTCTCGGATATTACGAATTCTTTGCCTTATCTAATATAGTATAAATATTTCTGCTTAATGTATTTAAATAAATACGATTTATACAACATTTTACAACAGAGCATACAACTATTTCTTATATAAATTACTAGGAAAGATATTAAAGAAATTAAATTAATAACATAGTCTAAAAAACGATGTATTGATTGCAAATCTTTAATATCTGCAGGATATTTTTATGGCAATATATTTTTCAAGTTCTCGAGGACCATAAGCCTCTTTTATTGGTTGCTATACCAATAAATCAAATTGGTACGCCCCTCTTTTGCAAATGTCAACATTTTATTTTACCCTTTCTGCAATCTGTTCTTATGTGGGATTGGTCGCTAAATGTGATTTAATATAAAACGCAGAGTATGAAGAAAATGTATGTAAACCTTAAAAGGTCAAAGTAATATGAATAAAAATATTTTTACGTTTTATTTCGGGGTACTTATATATATTTTTTTCATAATACGGTATTTGGAACTACATTTAGTGTGAGAAGCATGAAATGGTATTCTAAATTTGAATTTCAAATATGGCAGCAACGCTTACAGCAGTGAATAGCTTAAAATTAATGGAGTACCTAATCTTTAGTGGGGGGGGGGGGGGGGGTTATTAAAAATGTTTCATTTTAGTGCCATCAATTGCTGGCGTCGCTCGTCTCGCCGGAAGAACAGTCGTTATTATGCTGTATCGATATTTATTACAACGAAAACTCATTGATTCCACCAAAAATCACGCTAATAAATATGTCCTCTTTTCATGCTGCTTGCATTTTTTATGAGTTCAAAAGTATTAAGTACAATGTTCTTAATATAAAAGTATTGTACTTTTAGCGTGATAATTTTTGATATCTTTAATAAATATGTTTTGATATACCTATTATAACTATAAAGTATCATTCGCTCTTTATATAAATATATATTTACAGAGTGACTAACTCGATATTTTTTAGTAGTAAAAAATAATAATATCTCATGTATAGTTATATAAGCTGCAAATCTTCTATCTTCTTCTATATATATAAAAATGGATTGCTGTTCCTTAGTCTCGCTAAAACTCGAGAACGGCTGAAACGATTTGGCAAATTTTAGTCTTGAAATACTCCTGGAAGTCCAGGGAAGGTTTAAAAGGTGAGAAAAATTGGAATAATTGCCGGGAAAACCATAAAAACAGCCCTTTTCTATTTCCCATACAAACGTTTTTTTTGACATTAGATTTGACAACTAATTAATATGTCAACCATTCTGTTTGATTGAAACAGGAAAAACCTGATTATTTATGGCCTCTAAGACGGAATAGAGTTCGCCTAGTCAGCTATTTCTACATATATTACTGTTGACCAACCTAACGCGGACGAAGTCGCGGGCAAAAACCAGTCTATAATAAACATGTCAATTACTTGTTACATATATTTAAGTATAGACATTTGGCTTACAATAAATATATCGATTAAATGTAAAATCGATGTTTTAACTGGGTTTCTGGCAAGAAAGAAAATTTGTTTTTTATCAGACCGCGTGGGGACCAAGTATAGGGATGATTTCGATATAACATGAAATTGAGGAACTTTAAATTTACGTATTTTGTTGGTTTAAAAAGAAATTAATCTTAAAATAATTCATAACGAATTAATATATGATAGAAGATTTTGCTATCAAGTCAGTGGTGGCCTAGTAGTTAAAAGGCCCGGCTCTAACGCATGAGGGCGCTGGTTAGATCCTGGCAAGTACCAATGTGATTTTTCGAGTCATATGTACTTTCTGAGAGTATTTAGACACCACTGACATACGGTGAAGGAAAACGATACTTATGTCGAATTTAATAAAGTTAAAATATAACAATCTGGTCGGTTAATATGCAAAAGTGTGATCGAGGTCAAACGTGGTCTCATTTTACATGACAGAGAGACCGCGGGTTAATATTATATCGATGAATGAGGAAGTAACATCATTAAAGACTAATGAATACGGCTTTACAAACAATACTTTACATATAATTACAGGAGTTATTGTAAAAAGAAGATTTTAATATGACACTACAAGAATACTTGAGCTTAAATATGATAATAATAATAATAATAAGCTTAATTTTCCGTTTATTACATATAAAATTCTGATGTCGCGGTGTTATACAGAGAACTCCTCCGAAACGGCTTGACCGATTACCATGAAATTTTGTGAGCATTAATATAATGTTGGCCGATTCTCAGACCTATATCACTCAATAGTAGGTTTTTTCATATCCCTATTTTTCTTACCCCTAAGTCATAAGGGTTGTTCACTCTTTTTTTTATTTTTATATTCGGACGAAATTTTTTATTTTTATTTTTTTTATAATGTAGCATTAAAAAAATTCATACAACCCAAAAATTTTTACTTTATTATCACCAACCGTTATTTTTTTATATGGCAAAACAACGTTTGTCGGGTCAGCTAGTTTATTAATAATATAAATTGTAATGTTACCTCAATATTGCTTTGTTAAAACATATTTTATAAACGTAATATACCTCTTGTTTAATAAAAAAATATCACTCTCATTATACAAAAGTATCGTGTATATTTTTATATAAAGATGTTTCAGGAAAGCTTTTTAAAGGTTGTAGCAATAAAAAGCGCCATCAAAAAGGGACCTTTTTGAATTATATCCCTTTGAGTTTGTTGATACATAAGGTTTATACTTTAAGGAAGAAGGATGTAATTTACGAAAACGACACTGGTTTATCAAAGGAAGATTTGACAAAGGATTTTTTATACCATTGATGTTTTCAATTAATGAAACGGAATTACTTACATATGTATAAGCAAAGTCTTATTAAATTTTTATAAAAGAAGTAAAATAAGATTTCCGCATTTGTTGTGTTGTTATTTTTTTTTTTAAACAATAAATGTAAAACAAAGGCTCTTTTATAAACATGGGGTGTTCAAGAATTGGAACTTAAACAAATTGGAAACTTGAAACTAAAATATTTATATTTTTTTTATTATTATGAGGCATATAAGCACAGGTTCAGAGCACATAATTAGAAAGTTTGGTATATTAATGATGCTTTTCATGAAACATTTTGTTTTACAATCTTTTTACGTGAATATAAGACGTTCTGAAATATAGTACCACTTTCTGTTGACTTATGAACCTCTTTTAGTTAAACCATTAAGAAAAATAAAAATTGGTACAAAAACAGAACATTACCTAAACTTTATATAAAATATGATACAGACTTGTTAGTATTTAATATTAACTTTACGTGAGAGATTAAAGAAAGTATTTTTAACTAGCTTTCCGCCCGCAGCTTCGCCCGCGTGGAGTTCGGTTATATCGCGTTTCCAAGAGAACCTTTCAAAAGTGTGGGATAAAAACTATCCTGTTCTTTCTCAAGGTCAACTCTATGTCTGTAACAAATTTCATTAAAATCAGTTCAGCGGCTTAGGCGTGAAAGCTTAACAGACAGAGTTACTTTCGCATTTATAATATTAGTAGGGATGTATTTTGTCAATGAATTTTTTTGTTTAGGTATAATAAATCGAACATGCAACTAAGATAATAAAACTTAGTAAATATAAGCGGCTTAACAAATATAAAATAATTAAAAATAAGGAATTGTATTGTTTCTAATTAAGAATATATCTTAAACATTTCCAAATTTATTATAAAGAAAATACAGTTTATATCAAACTCGTGCAAACCTCTTTTACTCCGAATATTAAAATACTTTTCTCTGAAGAAGAATTTACAGTTCTTAGACATTAAGAAACTTCGAGGAATTATCACGAGATATCTTTCTACAAAAAGACACAGGAATACGTCTTACATTCGATTGAAGGAAATATATATCTTACTTATATCTCACAGAGTGAAATACGAAGAAAAATGTGAGAACAAAAACTGTATTAACAAAAACTTTTTATCTCCAAAACTTGTTTCAAGTTTCAACACAGTTTGGAAACGAAAACGGAACTCTAATAAAAGATATATGATACCAATAGGGTGGCTCATTT